TATAAGAGTGAGGTGCGGAACCTGATTCTGTCCTCAAACAAAGCTCTTGCATTTTCATAGTTTAAGGAATTTCAGTAGAGAGGCCCACTGTGAAAAGCTGGTGATAGACAGCCTGCAGAGCAGCTCGGTAAGCACAGAATGTTGTGTCTAAGGGTGGGCTCCACATTCCAGATTACAATAAATAAATGAATAAATAAATAAAAACAAAAAATAAGACAAAAACAAAACATGGATGTTTTGCCTTCAGTTTGCTCCATTCTTTAGGTGCTTGTGGAGAGTTGATTAGGGACAAGGACACTAATTCCAAGCAAAGGGGAAGAAGCAGTCTCCTAGATATACTTTTTTTTTTCTTTCCTCCTTTTCTCTTTTTTTCCTCCTTACCTCCCTCCCTTGACTTTGAGGTGGACTAGAGGTATGCAATTGTACCACACACAACATAAAAGGTAATCCAACTATCCGTCCATCCTCCTTCCCACCTCCCTTCCCTTTTCCTCTTCTTCCGTTTCTCCATCATTTCTTTATCCTACTTTTCAATTATCACATAGCTGGCAGAGAAGAAAAGATGGTATTTCTTCCTCAAGAGCTCAGAATTCTGTGGACAGGCCGACCCAGATGATTAACAAGATCGATTCTCCAATAAAGAGAGTTGCAAAGTATTAAGAAACACAGGGGACACAGCATCCGGTTTCTACTTTCAGTGTGGTGTGGGTGTGTGGGGGGATGGGCACATGTGTGTAAGAGAGAAAGAGAGAGAAACAAAGATAGTGCAATATTCTAGGGTATGCACATGCTATATTTTCTGTATCCATGTTCTTCTTAATGAGTTGTTTCTAGTTTTTGTCTTTTTGAATCATGCAACCAATGTCTTTTGGTACATGCATTAATTACTAATCTATTACTGTGACTGGACCACCCCCAAATGAGTGGCTTAAAACAATAACCATTTTTTTTTTTTGCATATTTTTGCAGTCTGGGCCAGGCTCTGGATATTTCTTCTGCTGGTTTTATCTGGGTTCACTCAATCAGTCATCCAGCTGGGGCTGGATGGTCTCATCACATTCTGGCAGCTACCTGGACCATCAGCTAAAGCTCTATGTGCCCCTTTTTGTGGTAAATCTAGACTTCCTCACCGAACAGCTGGATTCCAAGAGAGCAAACTTGGAAGCTGTAGGTTCTACAGAGGCTTTGCCTCAAATTTACACAAAATTACTTTTGCCTCATTTCCTTGGTCAAAGCAAATCATAGGGCCAACTCCTTGAATATATGCCAGGAAAGGAGGACTTCGTGGTCATGTTTTAAAACTGACCATGGGTAAAAACCTAGGCATGGAACATCCGGTCAGAGTGTGGCTTTAGTTCAATTTAGTGCTACCAAGTTTCCCAGCAGGTGCCTGTTGCTCCCCAACTTCATCCATTCTTGGTTTGTGAGTCTGTCTAATTTTAGCCACTCTGGTGAGGATGTGGTGGTTTCTCATTGTGCTTTAGTTGGCTTTTCCTTGAGTACTAATGAGGCTGGATACCTTTTTATGTGCTTATTGGTCATTTATGTATCTTCTTTTGGAGGAAGTGATTTGTAGGGGTTCTTTATATAGTCTGAATATGAGTCATTGTAATTTTACTCAACTCTCCCTCTTGGATTTTGAGTGATTTTCTTCTGGATTACAAAGGAAGTAACATTTGAGCTGAAGTTTGGAGGAGGATGAATAATTAAAGAAGATCAGGGAGGCCTTATATCTAGAAACATGAACAGTGCCAAGAGGGAAAAAAAGTGGTATGTTTGAGAAATAATGAGATTTCAAGGTAGGTAGAGTGTGACAAGGACCAGAGTTTCAGGGGATGATGCTGAAGAGGTGACCTAGGGAAAGGACATTGATGGAATGGAGAGAAGCATATCTTCATGGGACATTCCCTTTCATTTAGCTAGTCCTTGGTAATTCTTCAGATCTCCAGAGCTTGGAGACTGAGAAGCTTATCAGAGCATAAGACTCTGAACATAACAACCATAAGTATAACCACTGAGGAGTGACAGGGATCTTCCCCTCATGCACACACAGGGGAAGATAGGTGGGAGATTGAAGGAGAAGGAAGGAAGGAAATGGAGAGACAGAAGCAGAGACCCGTTATCAATATCTTAAATAATATGTGGTAGCATTTTTTGTAGAAAATACGGCAGAAACACATAGTCACATTTGCAACAAGATCAGATTCAGAAAAAGCAGAAATTGATCTGAAGCCGAAAGATACAGATTAGACTGTAAACCTTGTTACTTCTGGAGAATGGCTTCAAGAAGGGGTTGGTGTGGGTGAAGGAGACCTTTTCCTCTTTAAATACTTAAGTGTGTTTTTTTATAGAAAATATCTATTCATAGATTCAATTTTTTTGAAAGGAAATAAATCTATTTCTCAACTTCAATTAAGAGAAGCTTTTCTGTCCATTTTCATAGAGAAATATAAATTGATAAGTAACTGCTCAGGATAGTAGAGTAAGAAAAAAGTGACGTGGATCAGATGAGGAGGGAACTCAAGAACTGTGGCCAGTGGACCACACAGGTCATTGCTCAGCAGGTGCTGGAGGCTCAGGACGTCCACAATAGAGACTATGCTGGCAAAGATGCCCGCAGGTATGATTCCCATGGCCTGGCCAGGCTGCCCGTTACTCCTTATCTGTGAAAGGCCTCAACAACACATGGTGTGGAGGTTTTGAGGTTCTGAGCCCAGGACTAGCTAACTCACACATGGAGAACAAAACACAGAACTTGAGTTTGACAAACCCCAGCAGAGGAAGCTTAGGTTTGAGCTTTATTTCCTCATATTTGTGAGCAAAAGTGTAATCCTCTTCTCTGTCCTCTGCCCCTTATCACTTTAATCAGAGGGAAGGATATAGCATTGCATTGTTAGAACTCTTCTGAATGAAGAGAAGGAGAATTCTGACATCTGCTGGAAGAGTGGGGACTCAGCCTGAAAAGAGGTAAAGAGGTGACTAGACTGATTTGTGCACACACACACACACACACACACACACTTAGTCAGCTTTTTCGCTGCTTTGACCAAAAGACCTGACAAGAATAATTTTGGAGGAGGAAGTTTCAGAGATCTCAGTCCATCAACAGTCATCTCCCTTCCTCAGGGCTCGAGCTGAGGCAGAACATCATGGCAGAGGAAAGCAGCTGAGGACATGGCCCCAGGAATCAGAAAGAGAGACTTCACTCAACAAGGACAATATATATGCCCTAAAGACATGCCCCCAGGGACCCACCTCCTCCAGCCACAGCCTCTGTGCCTACAGTTACCATCCAGTTAATCCCTATCAAGGGATTAATGCACTTAATAAAGTTAAGACTCTCATAACCCAATCCTTTCACCTCTAAATTTCCTTGCAATGTCTAACACATGAGCTTTTGTGGGACACCTCACATCTAAATCACAACACACACACACACACACACACACACCTGTTTTCCCTCTATTAAAACAGTAGTACCGATTTATTTTAGGAATACAGTAAAAAAGAAGGAAATTAAACCCTATTAAGCCCCATGACCCAGAATAAGGAATAACATGGCATGTTTCTTACTAGTCTTTTTATTACACCAAGAAAATTAAACAATTATTGATGAGGTAACTCATTCACCATGTATGAATCATTGCCAAATGCTGAAATAAGCAGTAAACAAGGTAGACACAAACACTTCTTTTAGGAACTTAGATTTCTCCATCTGTGATAAGTATTGTGCACTCAATACAGCAATGTCTTACATTTGAATCAGGAAAATGCAAATTAAAACCACACTGTGGTTTCATCTCACTCCAGTTAGAATGGCAACTATCAAGAATATACATAATGATAAATGCTGGAGAGGATGCAAGGGGAAAGGTACATGTATACGTTGTTGGTAATACTGCAAATTGGTACAACCACTGTAGAAATCAGTACGGAGATTCCTCAGAAGGTTAGGAATGAAACCACATGATCCAGCTATTCCATTCCTCAGTATTTTCCCCAAAGAACTGAAATCAACAGACTGTAGTGATAACATGCATTCTGATGTTTATAGCAACACAATTCACCATAGTAAAGTTACAGGAATCAGCCTTGGTGTCAATTAACAGATAAATTAATTTTTAAAATGTGGTATACATACACAAAGGAACAAAGAGGACTAAAATTATATCCTTTGTGAATAAATGGATGGAACTGGGGAACATCATGCTAAATGAAATTAGCCAGACTCAGAAAGTCAAGGGTCAAATGTTTTCCTTCATATGCAAAACCTATAGGAGAAAAAGGAATAAAAGAAAAAGGGGAATATCATGAAAATAGAAGAGAGATCAATATTGGAGAAGTAAAGCATCAAGGAGAAGGGAGGAGAGAGGAAAAGGAGAACTGAAGAATGAAATTAACCACATTATGCTATATTCATGAGTGAATATAACACAATGAATCCTACTTTTATGTATAATTATAATGTACCAATTAAAAAATACACATATAAATAAAAATTGAAAAGACCAAAATAGAGGGTGGGGAGAGGAGGAAAGGCAGGGAGGGAAAGGGGAAATACTGGGAAATTAATTGGATTGAATTATGTGCACACATGAATATGTCACAATGAATCCCACTATTGTGTATCATTATGATGCACTAATAAAACATTAAAAACGAAATCTTGCATTTGCAAAATAGTTAGTACATGTTAGGCATTATGTTAACTGCTTTTCATGTGGTTAAGTGTTTTACACACACCATCACAAGCAATCTTCATAATGACTTAATGAGGTAGGTCACTACTACTCCTAGCCCCAATTATAGATAAAGAAACTCACTCAGACACCTCAGACAACTTAGCCAAGCTGACACAGCTTGGGGTCAGGCTAGGATCTCACTGTACCTGACCCTGTCACAGCCATGCCGCACACATCAGCAATAGAATACCTAACGTTTCCCCCTCTTCTTCCCTTGCTAGGTCTGACTGCCCTGGTGGCTGGAGATTCTAAGCCAGTATGATGGATGATGACACGGAGTTGAGGACTGATGGAAACTCCCTTCTGAAGGCTGTGTGGCTGGGCAGGCTGCGGCTGACCAGACTCCTCCTGGAAGGGGGAGCTTATATCAATGAGAGCAATGACAAAGGCGAAACGGCTCTCATGGTGGCATGTATCACCAAACATGTGGACCAGCAAAGTATCAGCAAGTCTAAGATGGTGAAGTACCTGTTGGACAACAGGGCAGACCCTAATATCCAGGATAAGTCTGGAAAGACTGCTCTCATCCATGCTTGCATCAGAAGAGCCGGGGGAGAAGTGGTCTCCCTACTACTGGAAAATGGAGCTGACCCCAGCCTTGAGGATCGCAGTGGGGCTTCGGCTCTGGTTTATGCAATAAATGCAGATGACAAGGATGCATTGAAACATCTCATTGATGCCTGCAAAGCCAAAGGGAAGGAAGTGATTATTATAACAACAGATAAGTCATCTTCCGGCACCAAAACTACTAAACAGTATCTTAATGTCCCTCCTTCACCCAAAGTGGAAGACCGACAGTCACCTCCACTGTGTGCGTCTCCTTCTGACATTGAACTGAAGGCTCCAGGCCTGAGCTCTCCACCAAATGAAAAAGAGGATGTCTTCTTCGGCCTCCAAACAGGACACCCAAGTGGCTGTAACACCTCTAAGATTCTCAATGAGCCTGGGTCTCCCACTAGGAAAGCCAGCAACCTTCCCACCAGGAAAGTGGGGGCCCGCTTGCCCCAACTGAAGAGGCTCCAGTCTGAACCCTGGGGCCTGATTGCACCGTCTGTGTTGGCAGCCTCCTCTCGTCAGGATGAAACCCACAGTGCCAGCACAGACAATGAGGTCATCAGGAACATCAGTGACATGTCTTTCCCTAAAAGGGGGCCCCTCTCCAGAACCAACAGCATTGATGGCAAAGACCCTGCCCTCTTCCCCACAGTCCCAGAGCAGGCTCTGAAGGTTCCGGCCTCTTCAGCCCCAGCATCCTGGAAAGCAGCCTATGAGAAGGGCCAGGCTTCCCACCCTCGTCTGGCAAGGAGAGGAGCTCTCCCTGTTGACCAAGAGAAAGGTGGCATGTGCCCATCGGGAGCCTCTGCTCTCAAAGAGCCAGCATCCCTCAAACGGCTGGAAAATGACCTCTATGACTTAGAGTTACAACCAGGGGCTGACTCACCCAACTCCATTTCCCTCGAGCCAGGCAAAGGTCCCTTAGATAGAAAGAAGCTCAACAGCTCCCACTTGTCTCTTTTCCATGGCTCTCGGGAGTCCCTGGATGCCGTGCCCACCACATCCCCCAGCTCTGTGCGTCGCAGACCCCCGCATCTTCTAGAAAGACGAGGTTCTGGAACTCTGCTGCTAGACCGCATCGCTCACACTAGGCCTGGCTTTCTTCCACCTTTAAATGTGAATCTGAACCCACCCATCCCCGATATTAGACCGAATAGCAAACCTTCTTCCCCACTTGCTAGTGGCTTAAAATCTATGGTTCCTGTTGCTCCAAGTTCACCAAAGAGAGTTGACTTGAGAAGTAAAAAGAAGCTCCTCAGAAGGCATTCTATGCAAATTGAACAGATGAAGCAGCTGTCGGACTTTGAAGAAATAATGACCTAGAAACCTTCAGGAAGGCTTCTCCTCACGTCTAAATCTAGGTAGTTTATGGAAGGGACCAAAATCTAGACCAACATAGCCATGTAGATCCTCTGTCTCTGCTCACTCCTCAATGCTGGTATGTGGCCACTTCAGAAGACATGGGAACAGGGTGCTACTTCACCTTTGAAATAAATGCAGGGATTATTTCACTTCTGAAATGATTATTTCGCTCCTGAAATAATCCCTGGGTTTTTACAGGCCTACTTGAAAAGAGTTCAGGATAATTGGGTTTCAGAGATGAAATTACAAGAAAAAAATAATTCCCCCAAGGAAGACAACCTTTGCAGTTTGAAGGTGACCCAGAAAGTATGGTGATTTAAGCTGTGGATCCCAGTTACTTGCCTTCAGACAAACAGTAAATGTGAGTTGAAGTCATGAGATAGTATTACAGTATGCTATTCAGAGCCTATAAAGTAGCTAAAACAAAAAAAAAAAAAAAAAAAAAAAAAGAAAAGAAAGAAAGAGAAAATGAGGCTTTAGCATTTGTCCAAAATGTGCAAAAGCTCAAAACTAATCCCTAAGCTCCTGAATTTGGCATCTGGGTTCAGTTTGATGATAGAAGCAGGATCCCCCATCAGAGAGGGTCTGGTATGTGGGTCTTTCTTACCTCTTGCTATTCTGCAGGCACTGTTAAGCATGGTTGAGTTCTGAAAGATCTCTTTTCAGATCCAGAGATATTCACAGACTCATTTGGGTGTGCTGTGAGTCCCTACATATCACATTTTCGTGGCTCCATTCTGACACGTCATTGTAGATGGTGCCTCAAAGATGAATCTTGCTCCCAAGATGCAACTTTTGCCAGGCCCCTGTGCAGACATAGGCTCTGTGTTGAAATCTAGTAAAGAACAGTCAAAGAGAACTAATTTGGACTTGAATGTGACACAATTAATAGAACAGAACTACAAGAAATGTTACCAATTATTCTTAAGAAAACTCAATGAATACTACCAAAACCGGGATGATAGGTGATAATGGGATGTACTTGGATTGAAAAGTAAATTGGAGCCGAGCACAGTGGTGCACACCTGTAATCCCAGCAGCTCAGGAGGCTGAGGCAGGAGGACTGTAAGTTCAAAACCAGCCTCAGCAATTTAGTCAGACCCTAAGCAGCTTAGTGAGATCCTGTCTCAAAATAAAATATTAAAATAAGGGCTGGTGGGTGGGGGGCATGGCTCAGTGGTTAAGCACTCCTGGGTTCAATAAATAAATAAATAAATAAATAAATAAATAAATAAATAAATAAAAGTGTCGTGTCTGGTCCTCAAGCTGATGGCAAAAAAATGAGGACCATTTCATTTTCCAGCCTGAAAATTTTAGGGGATATCAAATGTCATTTCTCTTTCAGTTAATAGTTAATTCAAGAAAAATCCAGTTTCTTCTTTGCCTGAATTATGTAGGGGTTGGGAGATGCATAGGAATAATCTATACAATCCTTTGAAGAAATTAAGTAAAGTCTCACTGAAAGACTCAAGTGTCTCCTTGAGATCTCCAAGATTCTAAAAATCCTAGTTCCTAAATTTATTTGTAAAGTAAAAAAAAAAAAAATCTGTAACATAAGCTCTACATTTTGTGATATTTCATTAAGAACATTTGCTAGAAATTTGTCTAGATATCCCAAGCAAAAGTGTTACTGATAGTCATTAATTATAAACAAAACAAAATTGCTTATTTTAAAAAATGATTCGTTTAGGGAAAGCTCTTAACCTCAGCACTAGTAACACTGGAGGCTGGGTCATTCTTTGTTCTGGGGGCCTGTCTGTCCTGTGCACTGCAGGACATTTAGCATCCTCTTCAGCCTCTGCTCACTGAGTGACAGTATCACCCTGTTCCCTTCCCCCCATTTGTGAGAACCAAAGATGTCTCCAGACATGGCCAGATGTCTCCTGGGGCAGCATCACCTTGGTGATCACCAGGGCTGTGGAGAATGGCCGTGCCTGTGATGGAAATATGTGAAGAATCAAAATGCCAATCGGAGGTGTGGCACACAAGCACCCAAACTCAAGCACTAACGGGATCTTGTATCTTGCAGGAAGGGAAGAAAATGAGAAGAAAAGCATGTAAGGTAGTGAAAACCTACTATTCGTGAACTTGTTTAGTGTGGCCGATCCATATGCTGTTCAGACACATTTAATTGTTAACAGTTTTCACCAAGTAGATGTGAGTATAGGCAAAGAAACAGCTCTACTGCATTCCAAAGAGAATCAAACAGGCAGCCACTGTTTTCAGTGAGTCATTGAAAACACACACACACACACACACAGCACACTTTAAGTGCTTTTCCAGCTATTGTGATTGCATCAAAACTAGCCTCTGCTAGTAGTGTTTAGCTGTGGGGATAGCAAGAAAAATGCTGCAGAGGAGCATTTTTCTAAACTTTTAGCTAAGACTTGAAAATCTAACTTATCCTCAGTAGTGACATTTATAGTGATTAGCCTGGGTGAAACACCAAACATGACTTGAGTGGCTCGGTACATTGCACGAGCGTGTAGCACTGTACTCTCCTGCCACTCGTGGCCTGTGTCAGTCCCTGTGACCTCTTCATCAGCCTTTCTCTAGGCAGTCATCAGAATGCTGCCTTCTCCCATCAGTTCTTGATGATGCATTTGCTGAATTAGACTGTTCTAAACTAGTACAATGGTGAAAATACCATGGTTTACTCATAAATAAGAAATTTTATCCGTGTCAATGAGCCTCATGAGAATGCTTTTCAAGAAGCATATTTTAGATGCAAACATGCTTCCTAGACCAAAGTTAGCTTTTTTCCTTTTGGAATCCAAGAGTCACTCTCTAAGTTAGCTTCAAACTAGAGTTTCATAATTTAGCCCCTTAAGATTCTCTGGACTGTTTATTAAAATGTCATTCAGAAAGTGAGCCTAAAGTTTGAAGTCTGGAATGTTGATTTAATTTCTAGACATCCCAAAGCTTTTTTTTTTTAAGAAAACAAAACACAGACCATTTGCAATCCTCTTAGAACTTCATCAAGCAAAGGTCCCCTGCACGTGCAGGTGTGTCTGACCTTCTTCCTTTGTGTGTGCTGGTGCTTTAGACGTATCCTGTGCTGCCTGGACTGGTCCTCTGCAGTATTCTATCCTAGTCTCAAGCTGAGGATATACTCAAAGATGTATCAAAATCTATGTAATAAAACTATTTAGTTGTTTCTAATATATCAATAAAAGAGATATTACAATCCTTCAATAGTATTTCTCATTTTCCTCAGTGAAATTTTAATGATAAATATTACCTTTCCTTTACAATGAGATTGATATGATTGCCTAGTAACATCAACCTTAGCAAACACTCAGTGTTTTATGTTCATGTAATTTCACATATTGATTTAAAATTATACAAGCATGTTGGTTTCTCTCCTGGTTTAAGAAAGTGCAATGAATGATTGCCACTCATTGGGGGGCTTTTTTTTTTTATTAGTTACACATGACAGTACAATGATCTTGACATATCATACATTTGAATCAAATGGGGTATAATTTCTTATTTTTCTGAGTGTACAGGTTGCAGAATCACATTGGTCATACAGTCACCTACATGCATACAGCAATAATAATGTCTATTTTATTCTGCTGCCCTTCCTATCCTGGGGCTGCACTTACCAACTGTAAGTGGCTCAGACTGCTGGATATCCGACCTTGGGCCCTGTTTCTATGTTGGCCTGTGTGAGTGGAAGTTGACTTCTGTTAGCTCTTATTCAAGGGCATGGTAACGAGAATAAAATAAACTAGCTGGATGGTCCCCCTGGTCTCTAGTGATTCTCTGGAAACCTTACCCTTAAGCTCTTCTCTCAACTACTGAGATAAGTTAAGAAAAAGAGATTTAAAATGTACTAATTTTAGCATTCTTTTCCTGACTTCTACCTTCAGGAAAAGGGAGGCCAATGTTTCTAAATCTTTTGAGGATAGATTGTGAGAAATGCTCCTGGAGGAGGAGAAAATGGTGGGGGCGGAAGGCTAAGGGGGAAAAAAAAAAGCCTAAGTGGCTGACACTGGAGGAGAGAGCATATTCTCAAGACTGATAACAGGTTCAGAAGTCTGTCATCCCTCGAGTGGAACTTGCTCCTTTCCAGAGCAAAACCTTATAGAGGAGTGGCTCCGTGGTGCACCTGGGGAGGCCGAGCCTGGGTCAAGCTTGGCAGGAAGGCATCTGAGTCGCCTGCCTCAAAGCCCTGCAGCTTAGACAGCGGGAGCAGGTCGCTAGGGAGATGAAGATCAAAGGGAACCTGAGCCTGAGCGCTGTAGACCTCCGCAGAACAGGCAGGGAGCGCTCCACAATGAGGGCCGGACTTCTCTGAATCTGTGTTAAAGGATGTGGGGACTTTAATCAATTTTAATTGATTTAGAAAAGCAAAGATATGTGGCATTTCTTACATCCAAAAGTGATATAGAGGAATTCACAGCATCCCGTGCTTTGTCCAAGTTACAAAATGGCACGTGCACCTGGGAGGTAAGGAGTCTGCCTTGCACTTGCGTTTGCCTGGGGAAGTTATCACAACATCTAGTTGTGTCAACAAAGGGAAAAGAGGCTGACAAGTCTCAAGGGTGCTCCCTAGCAGAAGGTGAGTTTGAGGTCCCAATTCTAAAAGACTGGCTGTGGAAGGGGATCTGTTGATATGACAGAGTTAAAGCCTGGTGGGGCCATTGGAGAAAAGAGTAATAATCACTATGTGTGAGGCTTGGAGGGAAGTGGAAGAGAAGTGAAAGGGTCAAAGAGATTAAGGTCCTGCCAGAGTGAACAGCCTGATTGTTAAACCATAGTGGGAAAAAAAAAAGAAAAAGAAAAAGAAAAAGACTACCAACTCCAATTTTAAATAAAATTAAAGCAAGCTTGTAATTCCAGCTAGAACTGTCTCTCCTGAAATCCTTGGGTTGGAGAACAGTACTCCAGCTCTCTAGGAGCATGGTTTAATAGCACAAAAAGTTGCAAAAGGAGGGTGTCTTGAGAACTTACAG